TTGACTCAATTTGGGCTGACAAAACTGCTATATTAGCAAGCAAGAAAGAAATTAAGTTACAGGATCCTCAAACTTCCTATGAGGAAAGGGTAATATCAACAAAAATCGCTTACAAGGACCATTTCTTCCAAGTTACTAATGTATATGCCCCTCCAAACAACAAAGACAGAAGAGATTTCTTTGAGAGATGGAGTCCATCCTGGGATGAAGAATTGATAAATATACTTGGTGGGGATTTCAATGTCAATATAGATCCTAAGACAAACAGAGTTAGTTAAGCAATAGCACACCCAGATTCAACAAGCCTACAACTCAAAAATCTTACAAACAACTTCATCGATTTAGCAACCCTTGAGGGAAGTGAGCCTTTTCTAACATTTTTTCAGAGTACACGAAATAACCAATCTATGGCCACTAGACTAGACTATATTTTTATTGATAAAAACTACATTTCACTAGTAGAAAAAACAGAAACATTACTTGGCAATTCAGATCATTTGATAGTTAAATGCACCTTAAATCTGAATGATAAACTTAAGACCCCAACATCTTGGAGATTTGAGAAACAGTATTTTAAAAATAAACTTATAGAAAAGGAGGTTATAGCAGAAATTAAATCATTTAATTCTGCTACAGACTGGGATTGGTACAAAGTTTGTATTCAATCGATTATAAGGGCCTTTAGGAAACTCAGAGCCTTTGAGAGCAGTTTAGCCCTATTAAACAGAAAAAATAACTAAATCAAAGGAGACACTAGCAAAGGACTCTAGTCAAATGCACTTACACGCTACGGTCAATGAATTAAATCTTCAAATCCAGGAAGAACTGTTACAATTAGTAGATAGATGGCAAACACGCTCCAAGGCAAGCTGGGTTGAGCAGAGAGAAAAGTCAACAAGATACTTCTTCTCAATGTTCAAATCTCGCACGAACTCTTTCACACTTAAGGACATCAAGAATCAAGAGAACCCATCTCAGTTCAACAAAGAGCAAATTTTATAGTTTATTAAAGAACAATATGCAAAGCTCTACAAGAAGGAGGAGATCGACTTAGATGCAGCAACAACTCTGACAAATAACCTTCCTATCATTCCTTCTGCAGAGAATGAAGAGCTTTTCCGAGAGATCACAAAAGAAGAAATAACTGAGGTTAACTCCCAAACAACAAATCTCCAGGGTTAGACGGTCTCACATATGAGTTTTACAAACAAACTGAAAACGATATAGTT